GAGAATGGTGTGAACCCGGGAGGCGGAGCTTGCAGTGAGCCAAGATCGCGCCACTGCACTCCAGCCTGGGCGGCAAAGGGAGACTCCGTCTCAAAAAAAAAAAAAAGAAAAAAAAAAAAAAAAAAAAAAAAGAACTACATGTTTTCCTGGTCCTGGGATCCACCCTGAAGCTAGTAATTCAATTAAGAAACTGACAAAGGAAAAACCTTTAACTACTGAATCTTTTGTCTGTATATTTCTGTGTTGTGTGTGTGATATAAAAGAGCTCTGATTAATTGGTTTAAAAACAATAAGATCTTAAATATTTTGTCAGAAAAGTAAAAAGTGTAATGCCTTTTAGTAGATGTGACAAGTAATCTTTTGGGAATTAAACAGTTTTAAAGATTATTGGGGCCGGGCGCAGTGGCTCAAGCCTGTAATCCCAGCACTTTGGGAGGCCGAGACGGGCGGATCACGAGGTCAGGAGATCGAGACCATCCTGGCTAACACGGTGAAACCCCATCTCTACTAAAAAAATACAAAAAACTAGCTGGGCGAGGTGGCGGGCGCCTGTAGTCCCAGCTACTCGGGAGGCTGAGGCAGGAGAATGGCGTGAACCCAGGAGGCGGAGCTTGCAGTGAGCTGAGATCCGGCCACTGCACTCCAGCCTGGGCGACAGAGCAACCCCCCCCGACGATCCAACACAAAAACAAAAGAAGAAAAAGGATTATTGGAAAGATAAAATGTCTTCAAAATATAAACATTTGATCAAAATTATACAGGTCAGATATTAGGTTTACCAACTACTTGAAGGTCACAAACTGCTTCTTTGACTTTTAAAAATTGTTCAATTTTCCTATCTTGAAGCCACTAGCTTCTAAATAAGGCCTGGGGACATATGGAATTAGTCATGCCCCCTTACTATACAAAGACAGTTAAAGAAAAAAGGTTTTATATTTTTAAAAAATCTTGTATAGCAAATTCTTTTCCTAAAATAAAATGACTGGTTATTTAAAAAGAGGGATGTTTACGACAAATCAGAAAGTCCAGACATATTGTAGATAGTCTGTATAAGAAACGAAAGCATTCATGAAAGGGATTTTACACAAGAAATATTATACAATTAAAGGTGATTAGACCTTCTGAATACTTCATAAAATGCCACTAAGACTCTTACTGTACAATTTGCCAGCTTTACAGCTAGGTAGGGCCTAGCGCACAAGGAATCAGCTACACCCTCTAACTATTAACACACTGGAAAGAGTCAGACCTTATCTACACTTGTGCCTGGGTCCTAGACTCAACACCTAGTACATAACTAAAATCCCACTTACTACGGTTTTCACCATAGGTAAAAGTTACTAAGAATTAACATTGTAACATGGAATTTTCACTACTATAAAACAGTTTTACATGCAAGGTATGCAAAGAAAATGAAATGTGTTTTTGATAAAAGTTTATAAAAAATAGAAATGTAGATTTGTCTAGATTAAAAGGTTGTTTTAAATTAGATAGAATAAAACTGAAAGTTTTAACCAATTGTGGATAATTTTTGAACATTTAATTGTAAAAGAGATTCTGTGAGCACACTGACTAAAGTTACAGGGGTATTATCCAGTTGTAATATATATTGAACACTGTGATAAAAATGACAAGTTTCTCTTAAAGCTCTGATCAACTCTTTAACAACAAAAAATGTGTAGTTATACGTTTTATGAGAATAATACCTTATGGTCAAACATTAAAATTGGATAAATTTGTCTAAAGATTCATTAAGGCCGGGCGCAGTGGCTCACATCTGTAATCCCAGCACTTTGGGAAGCCGAGGCAGGTGGATCACGAGGTCAGGAGTTCAAGACCAGCCTGGCCAAGATGGTGAAACTCTGTTTCTACTAAAAATACAAAAATTAGCCAGGCGCAGTGGCAGGCACCTGTAATCCCAGGTACTCAGGAGGCTCAGGCAGGAAAATCACTTGAACCTGGGTGGCAGAGGTCCAGTGAGCCGAGATCAAGCCATTGGGTTTGACATCACTAATACAAAAATATAATGGTGAAATTTGGATCATTTAGTAAAAAATCATACAGGAAACACTGTCAAATGTGAAATCATGTTTTACTCTTTTTGGACTATATTTGTGTAAATATGCTATTGGTATGTGTTTCAAAATTATAGGGCTGGGCAACATGGCCGACGTCTGTAATCCCAGCATTTTGAGATGCCAAGATGAGCAGATAGCTTGAGGTCAAGAGTTCAAGACCAGCCTGGTCAACATGGTGAAACCCCCGTCTCTACTAAAAATACAAAAATTACCAGGCGTAGTAGCATGCACCTGTAGTCTCAGTTGCTCAGGAGGCTGAGGCAGGACAATCGCTGGAACCCAGGAGGCAGAAGTTGCAGTGAGCCAAGATCGCACCACCGCACTCCAGCCTGAGCAAAGAGTGAGACTCTGTCTCAAAAAAAAAAAAAAAGAAAAGGGGAAATCGCTATAATTCTAATATGACTAAGTGTATGTTATTAATAATTACACTTTGGGAGGCTGAGGCGAGCGGGTCACCTGAGGTCAGGAGTTCAAGACCAGTCTCTATTAAAAATACAACACTTAGCCAGGCATGATAGCAGGTGCCTGTAATCTTAGCTAGTTGTGAGGCTGAGGCCGGAGAATCGCTTGAACCCGGGAGGTGGAGATTGCAGTGAGCCAAGATTGCGCCACTACACTCCAGCCTAGGAGACAAAGCAAGACTCAATCTCAAAAAATACTACTACTACTAACAATAATAATTACAATTGTTACCTAAAATCATTGTATGCCACAGAGCTAACTAAATTTCCTTGTCAATCATGTTCTTTTTTTACTGTAACTGCCCTAAGACTTTGCCATCCAGACAATCATCTTGTGTCAATCCTCTTCAAAAGATGATTTGTAGTCAACTATAAGACACTGACATGGGTTCTTAAATGCAAGTTTCTGATAACATTAGAAATTTGACATTAGAATAGAGGAAGTTCTTTTTTTTTTTTTTTTGAGATGGAGTCTCACTCTGTCACCCATATTAAAAGCACAAAAATTAGCCGAGCGTAGTGGCATGCCTGTAATCCCAGCTACTCAGGAGGCTGAGGCAGGAGAATCACTTGAACCGGGGAGGCGGAGGTTGCAGTGAGCCAAGATTGCACTCCAGCCTGGGTGACAGAACCAGACTCAGTGTGAAGAAAGAAAGAAAGAAAGAAAAGAAAGAAAAGAAAGAAAAGAAAGAAAGAAAGAAGGAAAGAAGGAAAGAAGGAAAGAAGGAAAGAAGGAAAGAAGGAAAGAAAGAAAGAAAGAAAGAAAGAAAGAAAGAAAGAAAGAAAGAAAGAAAGAAAGAAAGAAAAGAAA